AATCGATCAGTTTCTGTGAGACAGAAAATATGTTTGTTACGTGAATTAAACGAATGTTCTGACACAAAGACGCGAATAGGGTTGCTTTTGTATTCAGCACACCTCGTCTCGAATGCATTTTTAAAACTTCACGGTGCAAAGTCCGACGGGCGTTTTAATCAAGAATGTTCAAAGTAAAACTGGAATTTCTTTGGGCGTCACTAATTAGCTAATGGGATAAGATTAAGCATCTTCTTAACTCAAGATAAAGTTAATACTTTTCAGTATTCATGTCACACGAACAAACTGCTAATCTAAGGCAACTATTTTTACGAAATGTACATATAAATGAAAAGATAGACTGGAGTTGATGGGATATAATAGGTATACGATTTTAATTCATCACAAGAATAGAAGAAAGTCAATTAAATAGGAATCTGTCGATTGTTCTTCATAAAATCGTCGTTATTTTAGCTTCTATCTGTGGCAAATGGATTATTATACGATTATCATTCTATTTGATATTTTGAAATCTGATTAAGGAGATCTTTTGGAACGGATATTGAAAAACAGAAGGCCTAATATCAAAAAAACCATTCTCTCTTGAAGTTAGATAATAATAAATATATAATACTCTTTTCCGATAATAGCATAAGTTCAACTATCTATTCTCTTATATGCGCAAGGAATATGTTTTACTAATTTATTAGCGTAGAGTGTAATTGATTTTAATTTAATATATTTCTATTATCGAAAATAACCTGTGATTAAAATAATTTTCAAAAATATTGCTTATTAATGTATGGGATTTATCTTAGCAGGTTAATTTAAATAAAAAAGAAGAAATTTTATTGTAATATTGTAAGAGAGATTTCGCCGGTATGTTCGCTTGCGATGCTTCTCAGAACGTCTCTCTCTCTCTACAGACTCTCTCTTTCTATCTCAACGCATTTTCGGGCTTGTCGAATGACCAAAATAAATGAGACAGCAACACTCGAAGGTACACGCACGCACACACACACAGAGGCAATTGTTCTCGCTTTCGAGAAGCTCTTTGCTATATAAATACTAACATGAATGTAAACGTCGCAAGGTCGCTTCCAAACATTCTTCTACATACTGCTTCGATATAATACGTTTCAAATTAATAAAACCATCGATCCTACATTAATATATAAATATATTTTGTTATTGTACTTATAATTTTTATATTTTACAAGAGAAATAATAGAAATAATAGATTGAGAAAAAGTTGTCTGCCATTTACTATATCCATAATCATTTATCTTCCAATGAAATTTTTATTATATTTGTCGATCGTGATAAAAAGTTGCGACACTAAACTTATGTAAGAATTCTTTCTTATATTGTTCCATTTGAAGCGTTTTTATTCATCGATTAGCTTCGATAGGCGAGCGGCGCGTGAGAGGTAAAGACGCGCTCTATTAACTTTCATGCGATTGCCGATATCTGAAATGAACTAACTTTGAATGTATACAAAGAGCAATAGTTCCGAATGGTTCGCTAACAGCATCCGGTGAACCGTGTCTGATCCGCTTCCATTTAAGAACATTTGCGTTCGCTCGATGCATATTTCGCCGTAATCTGTAAGCGCTTAAAAGACAGCGACGTACCAATTTGCAAAGAATAACGAGGGGAAACAAAACACGCGAGAGGCCAGTCTGACGATGAAACGCCTGGATTACGCCTGTGCGGTCCGCGAAAGAAATACATCGTCGAACGTGCCCGCAATGTAAAGATTACTGAAGTTACGATCTACTTTCCGGATAAGAAAGAAAGAGAATTCCTGGTGTGGCAGAATAAATATTAACATTTTATCCGGGCGGCGGGCCGGCAACGAGGCGCTCTAATATACATACGTCGCACTCGAGGAGGAAAGATCGCCGAGAAAATATAATACACTCCGCGCATGCACTGTCTGCCGTAGCGTGTTTAGTTTGCAAATCGTGAATTTTATTATCGGTCGAGTCACCGGCAACTCCCATGTTCGGGAACACGGCGCATACGACGACGGGCAGATTGGCGGCGTTGCGTGAAATACCGTCGCGTGACCGCGCGGGAAGATTTAATCTGGTGCAGCAGCCGCGGAAATAAGGATAATAATACACAGCTGATAGACGGTGTGACCTGATAATAGTTTAATATTAAAATCTACATGCGCCTAATTTGCGCGTTTAAATATTCTGAGTCTTAAACAATTAGATTCTAACGATGTAGTTTAGTATCACTTTTAACTTTGGTATTATTATTAGATGTGTGACTGTGCTTGTGTTTGTGTGCGTGTGTACTCAAAGTAATTAAATAAAATAATGAGAAAAAGAATTTAAAATTAATTGATAAAATAATAAGTGAAATAATTACGAAAGAATAAACTACGTTATTAGTTTTTCTGATTAACGTAACAATTTGTTACCGAGTGTATTTATTCGTAATAATAGCTGGATTTCCGATTCGGTACCGCGTAACCCGGCGACTTCCGGTTCAAAAGTTTCCAATGCTCCATAACCGGCAGAACGCTGTTTGGCCGGTAGACATGCGCTAATTAAAGTAGCTTTGTAACTATCGCTCTAACTGAACTCCGCTTGCGACCATGTATAGCGCACATGGTACACTAAATGATCAGAGATAACGACCGTCGCCGATGGATATTCGCTCCCAAGACATTCAACGATTTCTGTCGCACTGACCTATTGTTCCTGAAACCAGATCGATCGACTTGCCTGTGACATATCCATTTTATAAACGCAAATATATAGATTCTGCCCCTATCTTTCCGAAGAGATTATAGCCCGAGTATCAATGATTCACATAAAACGATCGAAGGAAATCGTTGGAAAACAAAACTGCGATGTTACAATGTGAGAAACTGGGTGGAATTTATTTTTAGTATCACACATATTGCATGTCTCGTCGCAAATATTCCACCTATTCTTCATTGATTTTTCTCTGACAAAATTTATTCCAGTTTCGCACATACAATTTACCGATTAAAGGAGATCAGAAACACTCTGTATGGAACATATCGATTGCGCATGGTCGAATAATTGCACCTTTGGCAACAGTTCGCGCTTACAGAGTGAAAGTTCCGCGAAACTACCTCATCCGCCTCTTCCCTCTCTTCGCCCCTTTCGTATCGAAGACTGTATCGACGGGTCAGGTTATTCCCCGAAACTTCGGTCCGACCAAGGAACATGAATAACTTGTTCATCTATGCAGCCAGATAGAATGCATCAGAGATACACCACGATCGCCAAACTGTGACGGCCTGCGACGCCGTTAGATGACGAGTGAATTTCGTTCGCTATCGCGACATAGAATTAAGATGACGCGAAAGAGAATGAAAAGAGAGAAAAGCTTGCATCTTATTCCGCCGTAGTACGGATCCAGTCCAACTTCCTGATAATTCTCTTTTAAAACACTATTCTCAAGATATTGTACATAATTTTTATCGAGGGAGCAGTTCACTGCATAACACAAATAAGAGATCAAATAAAAATTCTGACAAAAGACTAAAATCTTGGGAAAAGAATTTGTGAAATCGTATTGTTAGCATAATTTTTTGAGGGATATGATTATTTTGTACGATGTCATGGTCAGTATTCTGCAAACTTTAAGAGTTTGAATTTTAATCTATTCAACATACCAGATCAATCATTTTATCTTTATTTTTTAATCATTATTATAATTAATTTTAAAGCGAGAGAGAGAGAGAGAGAAAGAATTTTAAATAAGAATAACATTAAAATGATATAATCTGCTACATGTTTGAATTATTTCAAAGATAACATTACATTCATAATCGAGAAATTTTTAAATAAGATTCACATTAAAATAATGAAATGATACAATCTTATGGATACATGCTTATAACACTTTAAGACAATATTAATCATAATCGAGGAATATTTAAATAAGCATAACATTTAAATAATAAAATGATACAGTCTTCTACATGTTTGTAATACTTTATAAAATTGATACATTATTTACTAAAGATTCAAGTTGGGACCGAACATATGCACAGATAATATATTGTGAACATAATTTGTTGAAATAATTAACATATCTACACGGCGGTATTCGTACTTTTCTTTTCTCTTGCTATTTAAAAATTTTGTATGCTTTCTTCTACATGTTTACGAAAATTACAAAATTTAATGTAATAATATTTATTTTCGCACGACATACATTTGTTCGAATATTCGGTAATTTGGTCACAGCCTTTATGATTTTTAATAACATGGACATTATGTTTGTTTCTTCCGCATTTCCCAATATATCCAAACTTTTACTTTTTATATAATTCTTTAAAATTATTTCACAAAGTCATATAAAGTGTAGATGTCCGAATTCTTCAAAAAGTATTTACTCGAGCATTGTAAAAAGGAACTGAAGGAATATACATTTCGTACATGGATTTCGAAAAATACTGTCCTCTTATGCACAAGAAAACAATACTTCCATGTTCAGCTGCGAAATACGTAGTTCTCCAGTTCTTTCTTAACATGGTTGTGTTAGTGATTTGCTAAGGATACTGACATCTACTTTTTTCACAATAATACTGTACGAAAAAATTATATTTTTATATTGAATTGCAAAATATATAATCAGTAGTTTCCTTCTCCAAATGTTGAGTGACGTAAACAGATTTGTTTGAAGCTGCAGAATGCGATTCGACAAAAATTTACATAAATATTTCGAACAAGTACTAATTATCTGAGTTTTGTTATATATGTGCTGAGTACGTCACTGAAAGATTTGTCATCATAAAAAAAATTTGTTATATTTATGAAATCGGTTTAGTTTTTATAAATGTACAAACACAGTACTTCATTTTAAAGCATAATTTGGAGAATATTATGTTTTAAAAGAATAACTATAATTCATAAGCTCGTAAATTTATAGGATTGTGTTAAATTGTAAATATATATATATATATATATATATGTGTGTGTGTATGTGTGTGTGTATATTTAAACTTATACATTTTATACACATTTTATACATTTTTAAACACAAAACTCTTATGTGACAAATAAGTCAAATATACGCCAATGTCTTCATGTATTTCAAATCACTTAAGTCAAAGTCGAGACTGCCGTTATTGCTGGTCATGAGATGATACTTAAAAATGCCGCTACCATCATTTCCATTGTCAAATGTAAATCTATATAAACATAAAAAGATCTATATAAACATCTGTAATATATAAAAAACAAATTAATTATTTGATTTTTTTTATCATATTTTGATTGAGTACACTACTGAAAGAATAAAATGTAATGATAAATATTACTAAACAATAGTAATTAATAAAATATGATTAAAACTTACGATCGTTTTTCTTTCAGCTTGCGTAGCTTGTCGACGGTCCAGCTTCATCGTGTTCTGTTCCTTGTTCCAAATCTTGTATTTGTTGTATTCTTTCCCATTCCTTTGGATGTACACATGACATGTGATTTTTTAAATTATTCCAGTCATAATCAAAGTTTATATTTTTTTCACATATTGTACAATTCACATTATATTCATCTTGTTTTGCGTATTTAAATACCCAATGTTGAGAATAGGATTTTAGGTCTTGTGAACAACGATGATCAACCATGACATCTTGTTGATGACATATCACGCATTCTATACTTCGACTTATTTCCATGTCATATGTGTACCTCAAACATTTCCACTGATCTGAAAAATAGTGGAAATTATCTTTTTCCATTTCTTCCTTATCGAAAATATCATAATGTGACTCGTGCATATGTTTCTCAAACTGATCCTTCTTCAAATATACTTCTTTGAATTTGCAAACTGTACATTCTGCTCGAAAATTTCCAGCATCTACATAACATTTTTGCAACCAGCTGTTCTGTGCAATTTGAAATGTCCAAAATATTTTGTTTCGTTTTATTCTATAGTAATCTTCTGAATGTTCATCTGACATATGTGTTTCTAAATGAGTTAAGTCAGCAATAATGTTCATACCTGCATCACAAATCGTACATTTCAGAAAATCTTCTTCTTCTTTTGCATATTTAAAAACCCAATTTTCAAACTTGCAAGATATTAATTCTTGTGGAGAATGATATTTTGCGTGACTCTCTATTTGGTCATTTGACACAGGTTCTTCACATATAATACATTCTATTTCTTCTTTTTGTTTCGTAAACCTAAAATATAGCCAGTTATTGTCATTTGCCATCTCTTTAGACTTTTCAGTTTTGTAAATATTTTTATGATTTTTTATGTGTGTTTTAAGCACAATAGCCGGGACACATACAAAGTTGAGTTTGCAAAATCGACATTCTGCTCGACAATTCACAGACTTTGCGTAACATTTATTCAAAAAGTAGTTGTTTTCAATTAGATATTTCCACTCTTCTGTTAATTTTGTTTGCTCTGTTGCATGTATCTTTATGTGCGGTTTAAAGGCCGTAACGTTTATTTGTAAATTAAATTCTACGCTTTTATTTCCACACAGCTTACATTTAGCAGAAAAATCTCCAACTTGGTTTAAGTATTTCCAACACCAGTTCAAATTAGTTTTTCTGTCTATATATTGTTCGTTTTTTGCATGCTTCTTTACGTGTTCGTGTAATATCTTGTTCCATTGTGGAAATACAGTTACGGGTATATCACATATAACACATATTATGACGTTTTCTTCTGTTAGCATAAAATATTTCCACATTTTGCTGATCCTGTGGGCCTCTTCATACTTATAAATCTTTTGATGTGTGTCACTTACGTGATCCTTAAATTTAGTTAGGTCTCCCACGTATGTAACAGTTTTTTGGCAAGATCGATTTCGACACCGTGCATAAAAATCTTTCTCTTTTGTAAAATATACCGCTATCCACTCTTTCCATTGAATTAGATCTTCCCAATTCATTGTGATCTGATCTGTATGAGAGAACGTATTTAACTGAACATGATGCGAGCATTATTTCGTTGGAAAGTGCCTGACAGAAGAGGTCGAGGAAAGAGACAGTTTTTCTGTTTGAATGTAAATATAAAGAGCATTCAAACTTACCTAATAATTATTGAGAGAGGTGGTAGGATGTGATGCGAAATATGTATAGTAAGCAATTGAGAGAGAGAGAGAGAGAGAGAGAGAGAGAGAGGAGGAGGAGGGAGGAGAGAGAGAGAGAGAGAGAGAGAGAGAGAGAGAGAGAGAGAGAGAGAGAGAGAGAGAGAG